AGCCCATTTCATGTGGACTCCATCTCATGTTGGCCTCTGAATGCATAACTCAAGCTGATGAGTTAGCTTAAGAATCTGCCTTAAAAGGAGAAATTGAGTATAACCTTGGATTGTCAATAAGCAATCTGAAAGCAGTAGTACACCAAGAACTTCAAGAAAATCTTGTAGATCTGAGGCAAAGTGAAATCAACATCAGAAATTCCATCTATCACCATACTATCATGCAAGAGGAGCCACACATCTATGGTTCATCCAATAAAATCAGCAGACTTCTAGATGTTACTACTGCTCGGCTTAGACTCGGTTACAAGTATCTCTGGGAATTCTCATTATCTGCCGATGTAGACCTGACCAAATGTAAACTGTGTCAACAAAATTATTCGCACACCCTCCGTCACTATGTGATGGAGTGCGAAAAGATACGTGAATTCAGAGACAATTCTATAAAAAATGTTCAAGAGGTGTGTAAATATTTAATTCAAAATGATCTGCTACCAGAAATCTTAGACAAATATCTCCAGTTTGCTAACTGTAGGTGATCACTAAGTATCAAGTGATTGTAACCTATCCACCGCTGCCCACTGGATGGGGGGGGGGCGGTGGGCAGGATAAACATATCAATTGTGACACTAGCTCTCCACATTGTTTGTTGTTGTTATAGATTCAGCTACTCGGAACAAGTTCCAAGTAGCACGGGCTATGGTGAGCCCGTAGCTTACCTGTCACAGGAGCGGGCCAAGTAGCACGGGCTATGGTGAGCCCGTAGTGGACTTACCTGGCACAGGAGCGGGCCAAGTAGCACGGGCTATGGTGAGCCCGTAGTGGACTTACCTGGCACAGGAGCGGTGCCGCTCTCCACATGTCAGTTGCTTAATTTAGAAACTGTACTTGTGGCCGGTCTCGAGCCCATTGTTGATGTGACGGTGTGCATTGAATTTTGTAACTAGCTCATCAAGACTGTAACTTGCTTAGCTAAATGAAGTGCGAGGTTTAGTCCCTGAGCCCATTATGTGGTCTAACACTTTCCACTACCACCCACAAGATGGGTATGGGGTGCATAATAAGTGAACTAAACTAACCTCACACAGCCCAGACGTCTCCCCCGGGGCCCAGCACACTGGCTCTAGCAGCAGCAGGAGGAACGGTCAACGGTCCAGCTGACTCACGCCGGTACTCAGCCCACTCCGGAGCGATACTAACCCAACAAGAATATCAAATGCGCCACCACACGCTACTGGGGGCAAGCATCTCCGTGATGAAGCAGGGAAAATCATCCTTACAGAACAAGTTGATCGCCAATCATCTTAACAGAGCAATAGCAGCTAGGTGGCTGACAATCCCACACTTTAAGGATGTACGAAGCCTCCCACGAAATAGAAAACTAATCACATGGCCTGAGGCTTCCGTCACGGTGGGACGTCCTATAGTGAGGATTATTTATCACCCCTGTGTGTGCCATTCCGTACACGTATTTTTATAAGGGTGTCGTTAGGGAGTTTAGAGTGCCTCACGCACCGCTATATATACGAATAAATTTGCGTAAATTAATCACTCGCACTTTGTCAAGTGCCCATGGGTAGCCTAGCCGATTTCCCCCTTCATAGTCGCTCAGAAAACTGCGTAAACATACCTTGGCAGCCTTGACAGTCACGGCTGTTGCAGCATAGTAACTACATCTTCATCAGGGCCTTCAGAGCAGCTCAAGACTTGCCTCAAGATACACACACACACTACTGGAAAACCGCACGCCGACGATATCAGACCGGCGGAGAGGTGGCCTATGCTGGTCCACACTCGGTCTGCCACTACGGAAAACTGGCTACCCGCAGGGCGGTCAGCCGGCACAAAAAGGCAGTCCAATATCGTTTGGTAGTTATTCAGGGATAACAATTAGATATCTGCTTACACCGGCTGCCCCGGGGGAAACCCTCATAAGGTCATTCGCAACCCAAGGTTATTTGTTATATTGAACCTTGTAGCGCCTCGGAGCTCCAGCCCGTCCTCCAAACAAAGATCCAAAAGTGATTCCATGCACCCGCCAAACCCCCTGTTTATGAATGAAAAGCGGTTTACACACGACTCACAACTGCTGATGTTCGAACATATCCGGAACAAGTGTTTCACTGACGAATTTTGTTCGAATCACAACGCTATAAATGCTTCACCCACGTACTACAAATACAAATAATCGCCAACAGAACCTAAACACCTAACCTAACCTAACCTATGCCTATATATACACAATATACTAATATATTATAATATTAATTTATATTTAAGAAAATTCCTGTTTTGAATGAACAGCATGTAAAAATTGTTGAATGCGTGTGTGGGGTCGACCGCTGGATGGAATGGACTTGAGTCGAGGACGGGTTGTTCGAATCACAACGCTATAAATGCTTCACCCACATACTACAAATACAAATAATCGCCAACAGAACCTAAACACCTAACCTAATCTAACCTATGTCTATATATGCACAATATGCTAATATATTATAATATTAATTTATACTTGAGAAAATTCCCGTTTTGAATGAACAGCAAGTTAAAATTTATGAATGCGTCTGTGGGGGCGACCTCTGGATGTAATGGACTTGAGTCGAGGACGGGTTGGATGATGTATTGTAAATGCTTCACCCACGTACTTCAAATACAAATAATCGCCAACAGAACCTAAGATAAGGGGCGAAGAAGAAAGCGAAGCCTTCTTACCTGCCGGGAAGGAGGAAGGAGACGAGCCAGGCTTTCGCTCCTGACTCAAAGAGACAGGTGTCCCAGCAGCAATGTACTGGGCAACAGACTCGAGCGTCTCAATGGGAGAAGAAGAACGAGAGCGAACAACATGATCTTCGGGAGAGCGATGGACATCAGCCCGCACAGACAGGCGGTATGGAGAGCCAAGAGACGGTGGAGAATGACGGGAAGGAGGATCAGAGGGAGAGGAGAAAGAAGGCACAGTAGACATGACAGACTGGGTAGAAAGAAGGGGAACCCAAGACAGAGAACCAGGAGGGGGACCCTCTGACACAGAACGTAAAGGAACGGAGGAGGTGGTCGTGTCTGGGTCTAAGGTCTGGAAACGGTTGTGAGACTGAGGAAGGTGGGAAGGACAAGGAGAGGAAGAGTGCAACATGTGAGCATAAGAGACGCCAGCGAAAAGGGGGGGGGGGGTGAAGACGATGAACTTGGCGCCTCGCCTAAAGAAAAGACAAATGGTGCAAATGCTTTAAGTTGAGGACGGCTGCCTCAAGTTTGTAACGTACACACGTGCGGGAGAAGGTAGGGTGGGCCTCACCGCAATTGAGGCAGTGGGCCTGGGGGGAGAGAGCACTCCAACTTAGAGTGACCCTCATCTCCACACATGGGACAAAGAGACAGGACTAGAGCATTTGAGGGCACCATGCCCAAACTTCCAGCACCTGTTACAGAGCTGAGGAGATGGAATATACTTCTGAACGGAGCATCTGACACCAGCAAAAATGACAGAGGGCGGAAGGGTCCTACCATCAAAATTAATTTTCACAACCCGAAGGGGCAGATGGCGACGACCACGAGGGGGACGAGTAAACGTATCCACCTGAAGGACAGAATGGCCTTAGGCCTCGAGGATACGCTTGATATCCTCGTAGCAGTCCTTTAGATTCCGAACACCGGTCGCAACATGGTGCGGTAGAACAGTGCCAACACTGGCATTTAAACGAGCGTTCTTGGAGACCCGAACAGGGGTCTCGCCAATGCAGGATAAGGCGGCCAAGCGAGTAGCTGCATCCCGAGGAGCAGCAGCAACGACACGAGTGGGGTTGAAAGTAACAGAGGCATCTACTGAATCAACAAGATGCTTATGAAGGGAAAAATCGTCAGTTGAATCCAAAGGATGGAGGTCAAAGTACTTAGTCCACGTAGCAGGACCAAACAAGGTATGGTACGAATTAGTATGGGAAGGGAGCATACGAGAGCGGCTGTGGCGGGTACGGTGGTGAGAACCTCTAGAGATAGGTCATAAGGCGCAGTAGTCACAATGAGAGATGGAGCCGTGCAAGGGGACGAGGTGGTCACCACAGAGGGCTTGTGGGCTCGACCCAACCCCATAGGAGGGAGGGGAGCAGGAAGGAGTAGTCCGGTCTGGGCCTAAACCGGGCCCTGTAGCGGGGGCCACAGAGCCAGGTCTTCCAGGACAGTCAGACTCAGGGGCCTGGTCGCCCACCCCATGAGTCTGGGTAAGAGAAGTCGTGTCGTCATCCATGCATGAATCAATTTAAAGGTTGGGGACCTGGAACCAAGGGATACCCCCTCCCAGGGCAGCCAGGGAGGCCGAGCGTGGGCCAGTGCAGGCAGGGTGCGTCGTCCACAACGGTGCTCCCCCTTTTCAACAGTTATGTCCTACTACATGGTCCATTCTCCCACACTTGTGCTCAGACCCCATTCCCCCTATCGCCCCAGCCTGGATACCCAACCATCCACTCAGGGCGACCCCTGCAGCGGGTGGTTTGATGGCTCACAAGGCCTCCTACGTGGTGCCCTTCTGCACATACACCACCCAAAAAGGGGGCCAGGTGAGGGAGCACAGGCAACCCACACCGGTCCCAGGGAGGTGTACGTGAGCCCCTCACCACGGCAAGGAGGCACCATGGAGAGGTTTTTGTACTTAAGCTTTAACATGTGTACTTGAGCTTTTATATATACATTTATATGTAAAAAAGTACATATACTTTTTAACATAACTCAATGTTGTTGATGAGGAGACAGTAATTTGCACCTTAAAATGTTAAGAGGGATGACAATTATCAATAAATTTTCAATAAATTTCCTCCTAAGCTAAGAGAAAGTAATTGTGTACAAATGTATTTCTAATAATAGTACTGTACAGTGTCTCCCAAAAATTCATATCATACCATTCAGGATGTCATGTTGCAAATTATTAAATAGATAATTGTATTTCTGATTATGCCAAATCAATATAAAATGAGGACTTCATAGGACTTAGGAAAAATCAAATAGCTTCATAAATTATTTATTTACTTTGCTATTTTGATACAAAATATATTTTATAATTAATACTATATTTATAGTTACAAGATGCATGTGTACTGACCACTTTTATAACAGACAACAATATTTCATATCTGGGTAACCAAATTACAACTCGCAAACATTTTTTCAGCATTTAATAACTGCCTCAGAATATGAAAAAGGGTGGTATGCTGAACTTAGAACTACGACAACTCAAGTAGTCAGCTGCATTGCAAACATTAAAGAAAATGGACAATGGAACATTAGAGAAAATGGACAAAATGGATGTCAAACTGAAAACAAAAGGTTATTCCAGGAAAACCTCACGAATTATGAGTATCACCTTTTGCAAAAGTGTACATCTCTTTCCTTCTGTTTTTTTTTGGCTTACTAAGCCTTCTACTTTTATTAAAATTGCAATCAAATTATCTTTTGGAAGACATGGGGTTTAATGATCAAATGTTGGCAAGTTCTCCCATGATGCACTAAACCTTCTCTTTAAGAGATTACAGTACACTTTATCAGTTCTTTAGTTCTCAAGAGCTTATATCAGATTAATAAGTTCTTTAAGAGCTTATTAATCAGTTCTTGTAATAAGTAATCTACATGTTACAAGAATTCACTAATAAAGTGACATCGACATAAGTGCACAAGAATTAAGAACCACGAGAAATTCTTTGGAACAGGACGGGAAGATAGAACCAGCATCCTGGGTTACCTCAGACACACGTCTTCAACCCATGGACCATGATGTGCTAAAGGAAGAGCGTCTGGCCTACCTCAGACACACGTCTTCAATCCATGGACCATGATGTGCTAAAGGAAGAGCGTCTGCCCTACATCAGACACGTCTTCAACCCATGGACCATGATGTGCTAAAGGAAGAGCGTCTGGCCTACCTCAGACACACGTCTTCAACCCATGGACCATGATGTGCTAAAGGAAGGGCGTCTGGGGTACCTCAGACACACGTCTTCAACCCATGGACCATGATGTGCTAAAGGAAGGGCGTCTGGCCTACCTCAGACACACGTCTTCAACCCATGGACCATGATGTGCTAAAGGAAGGGCGTCTGGGGTACCCAGGATGCTGGTTAAAGGCCGTCATGCTTCACAGATTTTCTCACAGATAATATCATGTTATTGTGATTTCATTGTGTATTTAGAACTAAATTTGCATTTCAGTAAATTAATCAATTTATGATAGAACGAACTTGTGCTATATATATATATACACAACATTTCTGCCTTTTTGTATAAATAAATATTTAAGCTAGTGAATATTACACTCCAAAAATGTATTAGTAACAATATATACTTTTCAATAATTTAAATCGCCCATTATGTAGATTACTTCCATAAAGTTTAGAAACGGTAACTTCTCAATATACTGTATTGAACAGGAATCGATAAATACATACTCAAAGTAACTGGATAAAATATATGCAATCACAAGAGAATAGAAAAATATAATAAAAACCTTTTTGCAGAAATTATCTTGCATGAACACGATACAACCAAAAAAATGTTTGTACTATGTTTGTCCTTAAAAAGAGTTGCCTACTGGGATAACCCTTTTAACAAAATATCAGGTCAAGCCAGGGTCCTTAGATACAATTAATACAAATCAATTTATATGTGGAAATGGTATTGTAATAAATTATTATTATTGAAACCATGATACTGCAATATTTTGACCCTAAGAAATGCCATACAAGTATACAGAATATACATATAAAATATATTTTTCCTGCACCATGTACAATGCTAATAGTATGAATTTCAATGGCTTTCAAGAGTCTAAACTGTATGTATGTAAGTATATATATATATATATATATATATATATATATATATATATATATATATATATATATATATATATATATATATATATATATATATATATATATATATAAATAAATAAATCAGACATGGTTCCAACAGGGTGGAATGTATTAAGCTTCGCACTACACAAAGAGAGATCACACAGGAATTGTATATACTGTATAATTCTTTGAAGATAAAAGCATTCTAAAACCTAATTTCAATATAAAATTATTCGTTAAACTCCAGAAGTTTGGAAAATTAACACAGTACAACCTTGATTATCCTCAATCTGTGCACTATAATATGAATTTTACAATAATTTCTTTATACAGTGCTGATGGAAAACAATAACAAAAAACTTGCAAGTGCAAAATCTTCTTTGACGCTATCTAGTCAGGCACGCTGTGATGCAAGAAAGATTTTCAGCGTCGATTCCAAGTTTGAAAACCTTGAATACTTAGGCGTATATATCATAGAGCTGAATACTGTACTTACACATATGGGCTAAACTCTCGAAGCAAATATTTAACCCACCATAAAGAAAACTTGATGCAAAAATAGCGTGCATCATGAACAAAATCACTGCTAAACAATACAAAATGTATGTGAATAAGATCACTGATAAACAATAACAAATACACCTTTAGTATCTAAAGCAGTAAAAAAAAAAAAAAAAAATAGGTGAAAAATACCTTACACATTAAGATGAATGTACAAATTGAACTTATTCAAACAAGTGGATGATTATACTTACAGTTTTTGCAAATGTATTGAAAGTTTAACCAATACTGTATTAATAAACGTAGGACATTTCCATCAATATTCACCCGGAAAATTATGCTGCATAGAACACATTATAGAATTCAGACTTGGCCACGAGAATCCAACGTGTAACAAAATAAACAAAAAAGATCACAATCAAAAGCAAATCTTTTTTTTCATTACAATGGATCATCTAGTCATATACTGTCAAGGGTATAAAGAATTTGCAGTAATATTTACCTGGCCTGACTGTGGATATGCAAACATACCAAATATTGCTTGCTTCAAGTACATTGCGCCCAATGTGGTACAGGTCCCACAAGGGCTTAGATGGCAACTGTGGTGTCTTTTTTTTGTTGTTGTAATACTGTATACAATTTTATTTAACAATATCAGAAGACATGAAGAAAGGTAAATGGGCTATTTCATGCTGGGGCCGTGAACAACAAGATACAGCTGAAAAAGACTGCCAGGTTGAGGAAGTGTGCCATCAGGGGTTAACGGGTGCCATAAGGGATTCACGGGGTGCCATGTTAGCTTTCCAGGAACACCAATGATGGCCCCCCAACACCTACCTCTCCATTATACAAAATGTTCTACTGTATATGGATTTAATACCCATTGGAAAATTGACCCATATAACCTTGAAATCCAAATTTGCATGGAAGCTTCACACTCCTGATCAAGGAAACTTGAAATTGAATTGCTACATGTCATTTGTAATGCACACTTAAGGAAGTCTAAGGCCAAAAGGTAAGTCCAGGTATTTTCCATAAACAAAAATCTTTCTTGTTATGCACGTTACCTTAAAGACATTAATGAATGTTGACTGTCTTAATGTTTAGATATATTACAATGTACTGACTAGGCCTATTAAAATTGCTTTGCTTATTACAATATTTTACTGAAAAAAATATTGGACCTGTTTACTTTCAATTAAAGATTTCCTGTTTATTATAAGAAAAGAATTCGTTGTACTGGAAATAAATGAGGCTCTACTATAGTAACATCTCTCAAGCTTCAAGTTACAAGATTGAATTAGATAAAAAGGTTACATAATCTGCAACAGCAGCAATGATATATATAAAACCCACTATGAGGTACTAAAGCAGCACACTATAACGTAAAAACATAGAATCACGCATTCGTAATTATATATATATCTATATATATATATATATATATATATACATAAATAAACTAAGTAATGCTTGTGCTTTTGCACTGACATTACTATTTTTGTAAGGAGATAAATAGGAGTCTGAACTTCAGTCAACAGAATATCATTATATAGTAATGATAATATCATATTCTACTAAGTGGAACACAAACCCTCATTCTATGCGAGAGCATAACCTAGGGGAAACAAAAAACATTGTGTTGTATTTCGTGTTCAATACATCTTGACAAACAGTTGGCAATGAAACATGCTTCACATTGGCTATCAAAATAAAGCGATTGTGAAAAAGTCCTCCATATAAAAATAATTTATTTTACCCAAAGCATACACTCACGTCTGTACTGTGATGAGAACAATTGTCCTTGCTACACCATTAGCAAAAACTAGGGTCAACAATTGTAGGCACATCTAGAGTTGTTGGACGCAGCTCTGGGCTAAATGGAATATACATAAGGGATTTGTTATATGTATAGAAAATAAAAATAACAATTGGGGTTGCATCACCACATACCCTACTGCAGGTTGACCGTCGTGACAACACAATGCACAATGTTAGGAACCGCACATTTTCTTGAAAAGTAACAAAACTAACTAGTATTATCTTTTAAAAAGATTCTGCATATGTTGGATTATACAAAATAATTGGGATATGTTAAGGTACTGTATTTCATTACTGATTTTGCATGAAATATTCCGATTATTAAATTTTTGCAACTATAACTTACTGAACACCTTCAGTTGCATGACTTTGCGGGGGTAGGGGGGGAGGAGAGGTCATTCCTCCTGCTTCCTGTATGCATGTCTCCCAAATATTCCTCCTGTATACAAGTCTCAAAAACCCATTGCCTTTATATACAAGCCTAAAACACCCGTCTCCCACATCTGACCTTTCAATGCAATTCTCCTTTTGCTAGAAATATTTCTTTGTACTTATTTCACTTAACATAGTTATTGAACATTCTAGCAGTGCAATTATTTATGTACCCCACTACATGCCCCACTGGTCGTCGGAGACATTTTTGCAAGACGAGTGTTTCACACGACAGGCTCAGTGCCGGAATGGATTAAATTCGTTAACCGAGGTTCATCTGCATGTACTCATCTAATTGTGCTTGCGGGGGTTGAGCTCTGGCTCTTTGGTCCTGCCTCTCAACTGGTGTACAGATTCCTGAGCCTACTGGGCTCTATCAAATCTACATTTGAAACTGTGTATGGAGTCTGCCTCCACCACATCACTACTCAATGCATTTCATTTGTTAACTACTCTGACATTGAAAAAATTCTTTCTAATGTCTCTGTGGCTCATTTGGATTCTAAGTGTCCACCTGTGTCCCCTTGTTCGTGTTCCACCCTGTGCTAAAGAGTTTGTCTTTGTCTACCCTGTCAATTCCCCTAAGAATTTTGTAGGTGGTTATCATGTCTTCCCTTACTCTTCTGTTTTCCAGGGATGTGAGGTATGTATGTATGTATATGTATGTATGTATGCATATGTATGTATGTATGTATATATGTATGTATATATGTATGTATGTATATATGTATATATATGTATATATATATATATATATATATATGTATATATGTATATATGTATATATATATATATATATATATATATATATATATATATATATATATATATATATATATATATATATATATATATATATATATGTCGTACCTAGTAGCCAGAACGCACTTCTCAGCCTACTATGCAAGGCCCGATTTGCCTAATAAGCCAAGTTTTCCTGAATTAATATATTTTCTCTAATTTTTTTCTTATGAAATGATAGAGCTACCCATTTCATTATGTATGTGGTCAATTTTTTTTTATTGGAGCTAAAATTAACGTAGATATATGACAAAACCTAACCAACCCTACCTAACCTAACCTAACCTATCTTTATAGGTTAGGTTCGGTTAGGTAGCCGAAAAAGTTAGGTTAGGTTAGGTTAGGTAGGTTAGGTAGTCGAAAAACAATTAATTCATGAAAACTTGGCTTATTAGGCAAATCGGGCCTTGCATAGTAGGCTGAGAAGTGCGTTCTGGCTACTAGGTACGATATATATATATATATATATATATATATATATATATATATATATATATATATATATATATATATATATATATATATATATATATATATATATATATATATATATATATATATATATGTATGTCATATAATGTCATATTCTACACAAAGTGGAACACAAACACTTTTTCTATGTGATAGCATAACCTAGAGGAAACAAAGAGGTTCCTCTGTATGTACAGGTGCACATACAGCTGCCCCCCATCCCAATCTATTGCCCCAGGAATGCCACGACAGCAAGAGCTCTACAGGAACAGGACAAACACCCACATAGAGCTCCAGAAAGTAGCAGGAATCCCCAGGAAAACAATACTGGCATAGAACCCTTGACTATTCGAGAATTTGAGATGTACAAAGCAGCCATGTCTTTCCCAACAGGTTCAGCAGTGGGCTTCACAGGCCTAAGACCTCCAGCACATCAAACAAATGCCGAAACCCGGTGCTTGGAGATGCCGCAAAGAACCTTCTAGTGGAACTTACCAGATTTTCCAACGTGTTTGGCTGGCGGCATGCCTGTAGACATCAGGCCTCTCTTTTAAGGAGCAACACTCTGCTCTAAAGGAGAAGGATGGGGGAATCAGGCCCATTGCCATTGGCAACACCCTCCGATGCCTCGTAGCTAAGGCTGTAGTGAGATCTCTCGGCCAGGAAGCAGCCACCTTGCTGAAACATAATCAGCTCGAGTTTGGTATCCCCTAGGCTGTGAAGCTGCAGCACATGCAGTGTGGGCTTACATTGCTGACACCTCGGACCAAAAGGCACTAGTAAAACTTGACTTTAAAAATGCCTTCAATCAAGTCAGAAGAGATGCTGTCCTCAGGGCTGTACACAACCATTTCCTTCCCCTTTACCCATCTGATTGTATTACAGTGGGGACTCTAAGCTTCTTTTTGGAAAGCATGAAATAGACTCCAGTGAAGGTGCCCAACAAGGTGATCCCTTAGACCCCCCTCTCCTTTTCTGCTTAAGTATCAAAGAGGTCACCGATAGTCTGACATGTGAGCTAAACATGTGGTACCTTGATAATGGTACTCTCGACGGAACCCCAGATACCATTTTGGAGGATATAAGAAAAATCCAGAAGCAAGGAGTAGCCTTGGGCCTTATTCTCAATACATCCAAATGTAAAATAGTCTTCCACAACCCAGACATCACTGGCCAAAGAAAAACTGCTCTTCCAGATATTCTCGTTGTCTGCACCCTCCTGGGGGTCCCCCATAGGCCCGCAAGCGATCGAGGTGGTCCTGGAGGCAAAAAACACTGACCTAAGAAGAATTTTGGACAGGACTGACAAGATTGATGCCCATGATGCTCTCTTCCTCCTCACAAGATGCTTATCTCTCCCTAAGTTGACTTACTTTTTGAGGTGTTGTTCATCCTACATCAGCCCCAAGTTAAATGTGTATGACACCCTTCTGAGGTCCATGCTGGTGAAAGTCCTGAACCTTCCTTTGGACGACTCTCAATGGGAGCAAGCAACCCTCTCTGTAAAACTTGGCGGCCTTTGTGTTCGCACAGCCTCCCAGATTGCTCTACTAGCTTTCCTTTCCTCCTCCCCATGCATCGCACAGCCTCGTAAGAGATATCCTACCTGAACCCCGAGTGTTTTAACAGGCATACACGATCCTGCTTTCACTGAATGTTCAAATCAGTGGGATGCTCCTGCAACCCCAGCACCCATCATAGATCCAACAAATAACATAAACAGTCCAGCTGGGACCACCCACTAGTGGAAAAAATAGCTAATGCCATGCTTAGTACTGCAGCATCAGACAAGGAGAAAGTCCCCCCCCCCTCAGAGCTGTGTCTACCCTCCATGTAGGAGACTTCCTTCCAGTAGTACCCATGTCGGCAATGGCCACACGTCTAGATCCAGAATCCCTTCGTGTAGCAGTGGCCCTCCATCTTGGTGCCCCAATTTATACTGAATACAAGTGTATTTGCAACAGGGTGGAAGCAGACCCATATGGACTGCATGGGTTGCACTGTGGAAAATCCAAGGGCATGCAAGACACAACAAGGTCAATGACATCATCAAGAGGAGTTGTGCCTCAGCTCAGTGCTCATCAGAGAGAACCTTGCATCCTAGGAGGCCAAAACCCAGATGATCCCACACTTTGCCCAGATGGCATCACAATATATCTCTGGAAGAGAGGCAGACAGATGGTGTGGGACTACACGTGTCAGCCCTGGCTGACACCTACAAACACTTCAGTGCTGATCATACAGGTGGGGCAGCCAACCACAGGAAAACATCAAAATCAACTAAGTACAGGCGACTAGAAGGTCAATACACCTTTGTTCCCATAGCGTCTGAGATGCATGGCCCCTAGGGTAGGAGTGCCTTTGGATTCCTCAAAGAATTGAGTTCCAGGCTCATTGACTTCACCAGAGACCCAAGGGCTGCCAGTGTCCTGTTTCAGTGCCCCAATGTGGGGATCCAGAGGGGAAACGCCTGCTGCGTCCTCGGCTCCTCTCCGGAAGCGGAAGAGATCCAAGAGATCCATAACCTTTAAATATCTAATAGAGCACCACAAAAGACAAAAGAAGGGGGTGGTAGGAGAAAAGCACACAAAAACTGTATTGGAGGGGCAACGTGGGGGGTTGGAGTGGGAGAGCCATAGGGTAAGACTGGAGATATGGGAAAAAATAATGGCAGAGTCAACAGGAAAAGAAAGGTACGAGTGGGGAAATTTGCAGGAGGAAGGTTGTAGTGGATGAGCTACGAGGAGAGAGAGACCACCATGGATGAGCCAAAGTGGAGATCTGAGTATAATGCAATCTCCAAACACTGGATTGTACTATTCCAGACCCAATCAGGATTTGAGAGAAATTGCCCCCTTCTTTGCTATTTACCACCAATTTCCTGTATTTCTTTTTTTTTAGCAAATGATTATAATACATGTTACAGCATATTCGGACACACAAACAATATATAATTATTGTGCACGTATAAATCTAATTATGCACCAAAAAATACCAAAACATGAATTTATCCATTGGCTTTTTCTTAGCACAGGCTGGTCTTGACAATTCAGGTCAGCAAAATACACTTAAAGCGTGTATTACATCACAATGTTTACTACATTTCTGCAGTCACTCTGAACTGACCATGAAGTTCTCCATGCCATTCTTACATAGCTTCAACCTCCCAATATAGGTATCTGAAGTGGGTTCTAGGGGTTCCTCTACTCTTCATGCCCAGCCTGGGGTTGGGTAAATTAAAAGAAAAGCCAGTGGAAATGCGCAAGTAGCAAGAGGTCAGACCAAACAGCCGCACACGCACAAAGAAAAACACAAGGCCAGTATGCATGGCCTAACAGTTGGTGAGAATGTCTAGGAAACACAAGGCCAGTATGCATGGCCTAACAGTTGGTGAGAATGTCTAGGAAACACAAGGCCAGTATGCATGGCCTAACAGTTGGTGAGAATGTCTAGGAAACACAAGGCCAGTATGCATGGCCTAACAGTTGGTGAGAATGTCTAGGAAACACAAGGCCAGTATGCATGGCCTAACAGTTGGTGAGAATGTCTAGGAAAATTCATCACAAAATTCAACATTCTGGCACAGTTCAAGTTTGGTAAAAACAAATTGTTAAATATAATTATTTTGAATAATATTTACAAATTAAAAATGAAGATATAGCAAAAATAAGAACAAGAGTTATAATTTGATGAAAATTGTAACTCTAAAATTATAAAATGTCACGAATTAACAGTTTGAAGTCCACAGCATCCTCTTCAGAATCTGAATTCTTTCTTGAGAAATCATAATTTTGGAGAGAAATCTGGTGGGCAGATTTTATGTTATTTAGAGGGATCCGTTATATGGAAGTATGGGTTTTGAGAGCATAGTGCGTGTCATAATCAGCAAATGGGATATCACTACTAAGATTCAAACAACCAGATTTTTTTTTTTTGCTTCAGCACAGCATATGTTACGACGATCATTAAGTATCCAACCCCACACACATGAAAATTAAAGTGAATTTGTTTTGGTCTGTCCTGAACCTTTATCAACTTGGATACGACATGAAAAGGGTTCAGGACAGACCGAAACATTAACACTTTTCATCTTTTCATGTGTGTGTGGGTTGGGTATTAATTTTCAGCAACGTTATTGAGACTTTCTGCACATTACCAAACCATGCAAACAATAGATAGGATTAGCAGATGAGGATTTATTGAAGCTTTGTGTGAAGCTTGATTCACTGTTTTCACTCTACAAGGTTGCATATAAATTAGTGATGAGAAAGAGACTGCAAAAGTTTAAGAAAATATAATATCAATAAATAAGTATTTATAAAAAATAAAAAAAATAAAAAATAAGGCATTGAAACCTTTTTACTTTTTTTTCAGTGATAAAAAATTAATAAAAAATATTTTGGTAGCTTAGGATATACCTCGGAGACACGAAAAGCACCGAACTCCATTTCTTTGCGTTCATCACAAGTCGGCAACGCTTGCTGCCCCTCAGGTTACTTCTGTTGCTCAAGTGGCACACACACCTTCCTGAACCTTCACATGTATCATTCATTTCTTAATTACTATCTTAGTTCAAGAGGCACAAGTCAAATTGATCAATTGCATGCGTCAACCTAAATACAGGATAGAACAATTTCCATTACATTTAAAAAAATCATAAATAGTTTGAACATCTGCACAATACATATGAATGTTGTTCCAGTTCTATCCACAAGAAACAAAATTACAGTACTATACTGTACCTTTCACATATATTACTGCCAAGCAGATCAAAATATAATTTAATTTGATATCTACAGTACCAACAAAATTTCACATTATAAATATTGCATTTATCCTTTATAGTTCTGTTGTCATACACGATCTGAAGTACCACAGTATAAAACGTTACGACCTGAGGTAGCAATTGAACATGTATGCCATGCTTACAACTCTATCCCATTACAACTGCTAGTGTAAAAATTCCGTTAATGGAAACCAGTGTATCTGGAAGACCAGGTACCGAACTAGATTACCTTAACTAATTGTTCCTCGGCGTTGAAATCTACACAAGTCGACTGCATCTTTCTTCTTGGAGGAAAAAATAGTTGTAAGCCACTCTTCAAGAAAGCCGTGTAGAGATTCCGTCCAAGATAAAAATAGCTCGAGCAGTCCTTGTGCTCCAACCAGTGATGAGCAGCGATGACATACTGACCAAACCAGAGATGAACATCAGTCTCTTAACAAATTGATGTCTGAACCTCGTATCTGGAAGCTGAGAGTACCTGGGCTGTAACACACACTAGGTAATGATGCAAAACTCATCTCTGTTACAACATAAAATACTATCACTTGAGGCAATTTAAAAAAAAAAGTACTGATTGTATCTGACAAACCCTAAATGTCAATCTAAATGAAACACTTAAATTACTCATTGTAAGAATTTGACTTAATATTTCTCACTTTTGGGTAGTTAATCAAATTCCTAATACATATACACTGTACAAGGATACGAGACATCCAATAAGTAACCAGCAGAATATTAACTGTATGCATATTTACAAACAAATCAACAATGTTGATATACATACTTTTGCATATCATGAGCATGGGATAATATCCGACTGGCTGATCCAACTCCAACAGACATGTCAGAGGAAAAAATAATAAAACAGTTGGTTCCCTTAATAAAAGGGACCAAGGAAATGAGGATTGACGGATTCCAACTAGGAAGTGTCGACAGTGCCGCTCAGCTTGTGACACGGCAAAGTGTATGCTGTAACCCTGGCTGCACAAACCAGAGTCAATGATCAAGGGACCCCCTCTGAAAGAAAAGAGGCTTGTTCTAAGCTTAAAACTATGGCTAAGGCTGGTGATGGAGAAAATGGCCAAGATGAATAGAACATAACCTTTTTTTTTTATCTAGGAAAGAGCACAAGCCTCACTAATACTACTGCCAGGAGCTAAGCCAACAAAAATGCCATCACGAAGAAAGAATCAAAGGAAAGATACAAATGTAAAAGTCCTATCCAATGACTAAGTAGGTTTAGGAGGTGAAAGAATGTCCCAGAGAACTTGAGAAAAGGGAAAGAAGAGACATTCACCTCAAAAGCAAGCAAGAAACTTCAACCCTAAAAGGGCATCAGATAGTGATCCAAACAGTCAACAAAGAAAAGACATGACAGTAGCCATTGAAACAAAGGACATACAATGCAGGAAAAAAAAAAGAATGTTTCACAAAAGCACGCCATGCTGTAAAGATTAACAGTCTCTTGAACCATCAAGGAAGGTCGAGGAGAGGTGTTGTCTCGGAAAGGAGTAAAAGGGGGGAATGCAAGAGAATGATTGTACCGAACACACGGGAACAGGAAGGATGACACACCCCACAAAGGTTTCCAGCCTGGACGTAAAGTATTTAGACTGGAAGAGGTAAAGAATTGCCACTTTTTGTTGAGATTGACAAAATTGCCATTTTATCCAGACAAAATACATCCACTGTCATGGCCCCACAATTAGGAATGGAGACACATAATGGAGTAGCTAATTGTTCAATGTGAGGTAAAAAGATTCACTTGTTCATAGCTGAACATCTCTCATATACAGTGGAAAAAGCCCTGTCCACTCTGGAAATGGGAGGGGCTGTCTACAAGGACGTTCAAAACACCATAGATGTGGACCATACCAAGAATCCAGAAATGAAGAAAAGTCAAAGCTCATGGAAGAGAGATGCGCCACAGCACCGTTTGGACTACTGCAAATTTTCTTATTGTAATATACACTTGCAGCAGGACCAGACTGACGACGTGGGCATTTAAAAAAAAAAAAGACAACCAAAGTCCAATAAGACCGTTAACAACCCCAATGATGGAGGGAGAGCATGAACTGAACTCCGAAAAGCCCAAGGAAGAGAGTAGTGGTTCAAAATCCTGCGCAGGAACAACAGGTTCTGCATCGTGTGGCTCAAGAGCCAGCAAAAGCCTTAAAAAATGAATAAGGAAGACCACTCAAGTAAAGGTAAGGGGGTCCAGTAGTTACTTGAGCTTCCGATGGGAAATGTCAGACCTCCCCAACACCACGCAGAGATGCTTGAGCAGACATAAGACCAATCATGGAAGGAGAGGGTGGCTGTGCTGGTGTGTCTGACCAACCCCAACCAAGTTATCAAATGGGATGTCTTTAACTGGCGCTTCTGCTACTTGACGTGGAAGCTGAAGTTTGCCAATTGAGACAAGATCCATGGCTGGGAGACAATGGCAGGATACCCAAATTAACCAGGAGTCGAGGAAGAACAGAACCCGGATTTCCAAGACGACGAAGGCATCATAGAACCACCTGAGCAAGCTCGGTGAAGATCCTGGGCACCAGATTCAAGCCAACAGTCAAGTCTGAAAGTGGCAGCTAAGTTGTATCACTATGAATCCCAGCCAATCTCTGAACTGTGGGTGGTTAGGGATATGCTAAAAAGTGTCCCAAGGAACTAAGCATGTGGAGCAAGTCATGGGATGTTGACCGAACTACACATGTTGCATCATGGACGCCCTGGCGTCTTGTGGTTCCGAGGCCTTGTCATCACACACATTATCATTCTAGTGAACATACAAAATTGGAGGAGCTGTCAGTCTTCAAACATTCGGCCTTAAATGGGGCATCAGAGACAAGACTCAAAATACCCTTTGGATAATTGGAGCACACAGGACCTTCCTTTCCCTCCCTCAATGGTAAAGCAGTATGTATTTAGGCACAGTTGAGAAGCTATAACACACCAAAAAAGTGACCATTTTCAATAAATATATAATCTACAATTAAATTCTAGTTTAAAATTTAAATACCATTTTCTCTAGTTATGCTCTGATAAAGGCAAATGATCTTTACTTTCCTAATAATTTATGACAAATTATTGAAATGTTACCGATAACTCACATTATTAAATTAAAACATTATATAGCAAAATTTGCAATGGAGACTCACCAATTTTAATTTGTAAACACCCCATGCCAGACATATACGCTGCCCTCCTCTCCTCTGACCTCAAGAGCATTGCGTCCAGAGCTGGTAAGTTGATACTGAAAAAAATAAAAATAATAATGCTCATATGATTGATCTTGGGGACATGATATGAAATACAGATTTGAACAGCATAACAAAATATTTAATTAGAACAAATTCATAAAATATCAAATCAATGAAAACATTAAAGAAATATTTATATACAAGAAGAGAATCAGAGTGAAGCTCTCTACAGATAGTGATAATGTAATAATAACAATTAGACGTTGAATGAGCAATGGAAGAACACTCATTCTCCATTGGATAAATTGAGGGATGTATACCATTCCCAACCACAGCAATTCTCATAATATATGTAATTAAATTATATTCACATGAATAATTATCATCACCTCATTTCCCAATTTCATGGGGTGGGGAAGCACATACCTGTAGAAAAACCTTGATTAACCCCTTAACTGCGTTGCCTCCAAATGTGACACCCCCGCAGTGCGCAGGAAATAAATTCTCTGGAAAAAATTCTTTTTTCTTTTTAAAGTGTCAAAAACCCTTCTCTCAGTATGGGTATGTAAAAAAAAAGTCGAAATTGTACTTACTTTGGCTGCTATGGGGTCTGGAAGTTGGGGCGTGACATCATCATTCCCCGTGCGCCCGTGCCGTAAGCTCTCGGTGGCAGTGGGGCGCTCGGGGCGGGGCGCGCGAGTTGCCGCGAATATATTTTCGTTCATTTTTTGCGCACCTTTCCAAATACATTTTCATTATTTTTATGTGCCAATCCAATGTATAATGAACACGTACACTATAATATCGCAGTACAACATCCGTACTATCCGTAGACACTGTGTTACGTGCATGAAACTTGTGTACACATATGCAGCACATATTTACTATGTATCATGCTAATTTGTGTATATATACATCTATTTACACACTAGACACTTACACACTATCAACACATTCAGAACACTGCGTAGCAGCTGCCTCGTATGGGCCAATAGCAGCTGCCTCGTATGGGCAATATCGTCTAATATACCACAAGCTACAGCTGCCTCAGAAAGCTTCAATGGCAGCTACGTTAGTAATGAATAGCATATGATATGTATAGGTTAGCAGCTGACCTAATCTGGGCTAACCTAATCTAACTCGTATGGGCTAACAGCAGCTGCCTCGTATGGGCCATCAGCAGTTGCCTCGTATGGGCCATCACCAGCTTTTCGTATGGGCCTAGCAGCTGCCTCGTATGGGCCAAAAGCAGCTGCCTCGTATGGGCCAATAGCAGCTGCCTCGTATGGGCCAATAGCAGCTGTATGGGCCAATAGCAGCTGCCGCGTATGGGCCAACAGCAGCTGCCTCGTATGGGCCAACCTCGTATGGGCCAACAGCAGCTGCCTCGTATGGGCCAACAGCAGCTGCCTCGTATGGGCCAACAGAAGCTGCCTCGTATGGGCCAACAGCAGCTGCCTCGTATGGGCCATTAGCAGCTGCCTCGTATGGGCCAATAGCAGCTGCCCCGTATGGGCCAATAGCAGCTGCCCCGTATGGGCCAATAGCAGCTGCCCCGTATGGGCCAATAGCAGCTGCCCCGTATGGGCCAATAGCAGCTGCCTCGTATGGGCCAATAGCAGCTGCCTCGTATGGGCCAATAGCAGCTGCCCCGTATGGGCCAGTAGCAGCTGCCCCGTATGGGCCAACAGCAGCTGCCTCGTATGGGCCAACAGCAGCTGCCTCGTATGGGCCAACAGCAGCTGCCTCGTATGGGCCAACAGCAGCTGCCTCGTATGGGCCAACAGCAGCTGCCTCGTATGGGCCAACAGCAGCTGCCTCGTATGGGCCAACAGCAGCTGCCTCGTATGGGCCAACAGCAGCTGCCTCGTATGGGCCAACAGCAGCTGCCTCGTATGGGCCAACAGCAGCTGCCTCGTATGGGCCAACAGCAGCTGCCTCGTATGGGCCAACAGCAGCTGCCTCGTATGGGCCAACAGCAGCTGCCTCGTATGGGCCAACAGCAGCTGCCTCGTATGGGCCAATAGCAGCTGCCCCGTATGGGCCAATAGCAGCTGCCCCGTATGGGCCAATAGCAGCTGCCTCGTATGGGCCAATAGCAGCTGCCTCGTATGGGCCAATAGCAGCTGCCTCGTATGGGCCAATAGCAGCTGCCTCGTATGGGCCAACAGCAGCTGCCTCGTATGGGCCAATAGCAGCTGCCTCGTATGGGCCAATAGCAGCTGCTTCGTATGTGCCAATAGCAGCTGCCTCGTATGGGCCAATAGCAGCTGCCTCGTATGGGCCAATAGCAGCTGCCTCGTATGGGCCAACAGCAGCTGCCTCGTATGGGCCAATAGCAGCTGCCTCGTATGGGCCAATAGGAGCATTTGGCCATGAACACATTCAGAACACCTCGAGTGAGAGCAGCCACACCCAGCCAGTCTCCCTCACTCCAACATCTTACTCGCCAACATTGCTCCTCCCATCATATTGTTATAGTTCTTATTACACATGTTCTATATACCTATCTACATGTTTTATTTACCAGAACTATGCAAGTAAGTATTGTGTCCAAACAGTACAGTGGCCACCATACACTGCATGAAAAATCACACAGCAGACGACGCTACGATTACGTCACCTCCCTCACCAAAATAGCTCCTCTCAACATTCTCCTGTTGCTGTTCTTACACTATATACACACACTATATATATACCCATGTACATATGTGTTGCCCATAGCGAACCACTAAGCTAGTATGGTGAGCAAAACAAGAGTGGCAGCCACACACACAATGAGGCTACCTCAATTCTCGCCCTCCCTCCCTCATCAAAATTCCTCCTTCCACAATACTACGCACAACGCTAATTATAACCACAATCCTGCTATTATCACAATCCTGGTCACTAATTCCTGTAAATGAATAATTGACCACACGTTTATTTTGAAAAGGAACCTAAGAAATCATTTGAAGATTCCTAGATGAACGAAATAATGCTGTGGTGCTGTGGCTAGCGCTGTGAACATCGTGAACAGCATTGAATCACTGATATTTGAACATTGTACCCAGTCATTATCACACTCAGGCTCTAATATAACACTATCATAGCTAAATAATACAAGTTATATATATATTTTGACATTATTAGGCGATGCTGTGGTCACATGCTGAACAGCAGTGCTGTGCGCTCATGCTGCGAGCGCCAGCCTTGGTTGCTCACACACTACTGAGGCTCCCACACCCGGGAATGTGGACCACGATTTTTTTTAAAGATGGCGTCTGTTTACAAGAGCCCTGAGGAAGCTGATGTGAACCCCATGTAGCCGCGGGAGTTTTGAATGGAACGTGAAAAATACAAATACCCGGAGGCGCGTTGCGCAAACCAGACGTGAGCCTGAAGGCGCGTTGCGCAGTTTAAGGGTTAAACTGGGGACCAAAGCCAGAACCTGGCCCCCCATCAAAGAGGCGCAGGTAACGGTGACATTTCGACACCTCACCGGGAAAGGCAACAAAAAAGTCAGCAAGTGAAATCAAACCACTGCTGGATTCAAGAGAGCCTGAAGCCTCAAAATCCACCCAAAGAACTCCGCAATTAGGTAAACAAACGTTCCAATTCTCTCGAAACTACCATGCCCCTCATTCCCTCCTCCACCCCCCAATTATTTGGGGAGAAGGGGCAATAGCTCACAGCCTTCCTGGGTATGAGCTGTCATATCTATAGCAAATGTAAACACCCATCCAATGACCTGAATCAAGTAACCACTGGGGTTCACCCAGAAATTGGCGATTCATTACATTCAATTTTGGTTTTCTGGGAGGGGGGGGGGAAGCCCCCTTTGTGGCTTCCTGAAGCTACTACACAGAATACCACTGAACTACCCACAGAGATCACAGAAGATTTCAAACGAGGATTTTACAACATGCTCATACACTCAGCCCCAGGTCTTGGCTCGTGGAATTCAGTGTTCATAAAGAAATATAAAGCAACTGTAGCACCGAGTGCTCGGTGTAATATTGAGGAAGAGCCTGGATACAGGGAAGATATCAGCAATACTTAAATCAGCAGATATAGCTCCACTACACAAGGGTGATAGTAAAGCTTTGGCAAAAAACTATACACAGTTTGCACTAACATCACAAATAATTAAAGTTTTTGAGAGTGAATAGAAATCACATCTCCAGTTTTATGGAAACCAATGAACTTCACAACCCAGGACAACATGGATTTCGAGCGGAAAGATCCTGTTTATCAGTTACTCAATTACTATGACAAAATCACAGAAGCATTGGTAAAAAAAGAAAATACAGACATTGTATACACAGATTTTGCAAAGGAATTCGACAAGTGTTGACCATAAAGTGAAAGCCCATAAAATTAGATCAATGGGAACAATGGATAAAGTGGGGTGTTGGATTTTCAACTTTGTCAAACAGAATGCAAAGAGTAACAGTCAATCAAATAGGATCAAATCCAAGTGCAGTGAAGAACTCTGTACCACGGCACAATCCCTACACCACTGCTCTTTCTCATTCTTATCTCAGATATAGACAAAAATACTAGTTACAGCTTTGTGTCATCCTTTGCAGATCATACAAAAATCAGCATGAAAAATTCCTCTGAAATACCACAAGCTGATTTGCCATTTATTTATATACACAGTACAAGAGTTCTTACATTCTTGTAAAACCACTAGCTAGCATAGCATTATGGGCATGTACTTGATCCTAATTTTCCCTGGAATACGACCTACCAAATTGTTTAAACAACCAGGTACCCATTCACTGCTGGGTGAACAAAGGCACAGAGTTAAGGATTGGTGCCTAGTCAATTCTCCCCCAGGCAAAATTGCTCGCGAAGTGCGGGTGTTTTACCACTGTGCCATGGGGAACTGCTATAGATATTATTTGATATTAATAAAGTCTTCGATTGGGCAATGGAAAATAACATGATGTTTAATGGTGATATGTTTCAAGTACTTAGGTATAATGGAAATGAGGAACTGACACAAAACATGGGGTACAGGATACAATCAGACCTACTCATAGAAGGAAAGCAATATGTAAAAGATCTGGGAATTATGATGTCTGACGACCTGACATTTAGTAAACATAATCGAGCAAAAACCCAGTATAGCAAGTAACCAGGAAAATGATAGGACGGATTATGAGAATGTTCAAATCCAGGGATTCTATAAACATGCTAATACTATTTAAATCACTGGTGCTGTCCTGTCCTCAGTACTGCTAAGTACTCACTCCTCTCTTTCAGAGTAGGAAAGATTTCTGCATATCAAAGCTCTCAAAATGTACTCACTGGAAAGGAGACGAGAAAAGTATCAAATAATACATACTGTATATGGAAGATACTGGAAGGCCAGGTCCTAAATTTGCACAGTAGAATAACACATACTGGAGCAAAAGATACGGAAGGAAATGCAGAATAGAACCAGTAAGCAGAAGAGGTGCCACATGCATAGAGCACTCCCTGAACATCAGAGGTCCACAGAGGACCTCTGATCACACTCCCCTGGTAGGACTCCAACCTGGCCAAGTCCTAGAGCAACAGCTAGACCGGGGTTAAGAGGTACAGAAATCCCCAACCTTGACCAGTCCAGCAGAAAGGCATTTACTTCGAGCCTCATGATCGGAAAATAGTGTAACACAATAAATGTGTTTTGTTTAATATTGTACATAAAACGAGAGTTCAGTCACACAGGATATTGGTAGTGCCAGGTTGTCAGCCTTATAATTAATCTAGAGTCATGTCTTTCAGGTGTTAATTGTAACAGGTTGCCTTCGGGTCAGGTTGTGTGAAGTGACCTTGCTTTCTGCTATGCTGTTAATTGCAGATGGGTGTGTTGTATTTCCATCAGACAACCCACTGACTAGGTGGTAGGTAGATAGCCAGAGGCTATCTGGAAGGCAGAGCTTAGCTCCCGGTCCCCCCATATATACCTGTGGCACTATACATTTGAGACACTGAGCAGGATAGCAATAGATAGATTGCTTGTCGAGAGGTTCCCGCTGCCACACTAGGCCTGTGCCAGGCCAGGTAGGGACTCTTGTCTGTCAGCTGTAGTCCCATTCCCCCTTCTCTATCAACTTAATCTAAGAGACTTTGGTGAGTGAACTTGTAAGGTGACGTATCTTGCGATTTCAACTTAGGTGTTGTGATTTTCAGGGGCAGTCAGTCATAGTGCTTTCAATTTCTGGTGTGGTGACTTCTGAATAAATTTGAACATCACGTGATAATGTTGAATTATGATAACTAGTACAGTATATGATTTGAGGATATAATAGTAAATACATAATTGATTAATTTACTTTTTAAATTGCCTTTAATTGTGATCCCTAGATCTTGTATAAGGAAAGCCAAGAGTGGAGAGGAGTCTGAAATGTTGTCTTAAAGATATTTGTCTACATGATTTCCATGCTTAGAGATGTTACATGATAACATCAGATAATACTGTTGTACAGACAAGTTCCATTCCTTGCCTTATATATAATTAACTTGAATGGATGGTGGCAGCCACTTCCTAACTTTCTACGACTCTACTATTTTCTACTTCTCCTTGATCTCATTCTCTGACTCTCATTCTACACTTTCCCTTTCCTCTGACCAGTCTTCCTCACTACTTCCTTACTTCTCTCTACCTCCCTCACCCTTTTTGTTCTTCGTCCTTTTTCTTTTAATTTTCGATCCGTTACAACAGAGCCATGTACAAAGGAAGGCACACATTCCATGCCGACGCAAAGAGGTCCACCTCCAAACACCCCTCAGTCTCACAAATCCACAGGAAGGTGACAGCATTGATGGGCCATGATGTGGAAATGGGAAAGACCATCCGTGAGGACGTTGGACACTCACTAGACGTGAACAGCACAAAGAGTCAAGCTCCTAGAACAAGCAAGAGTGCCGCTCAAAGCATCCAGCTCCAAATGGCAAGGAACCGAGGCCAATTTGGAGTATTTGTCCCTTTACCATATTCCGTATTTTGTCCTTGTCCCTTTACTACATTCCTTATTTTGTCCTTGTCCTTTTACCACATTCCTTATTTTGTCCTTGTCCCTTTACCACATTCCTTATTTTGTCCTTGTCCCTTTACCACATTCCTTATTTTGTCCTTGTCCCTTTACCACATTCCTTATTTTGTCCTTGTCCCTTTACACATTCCTTATTTTGTTCTTAGCCCATTACCACATTCCATATATTGTTCACTCACTCTCAGCTTAGCATATCCATCTTCCCAAAGTTCTCTCCTTTCTTATCATTAGATTCCTTCAAATATGCTCTCTTAACTATCAACCCTCAAATAATCTGAAATAAATCATTAGAACCAGCCATTAACAACTTCCAACGCCCACTAGCAACACGATTATTTTTGGATGCCACTGCCCCAATCCGAATAAAATCAAGACATAAAAAGACACAGCAGAAGGCACATTGGCCAATGCAAGGTATTCTTATTTATATCCACCTAAACTCATGTATATATCCTGATCAATTTTTTTTTTTTTAGAACACCTACCTCTTCATCAGTCGTGACCAAGGTAGCATGGCTTCCATGGGGCGAGGACGCCACCTGTTCTTGCGTCATCATGCGAGGAATGATATTTAGATTGATGGGTTGATGGGTGTTATCATCCATAATAATAACCTCGGGACTCAGAGTGGTTGTCGTGCCACCAGGAGATACGGGGCCAGTAGTTATTGTCGCTATGCTCCCCGATACCGGAACCGTTACATGCTGCAAATAAAATCATTATTATTGACACCATTCTAATGAATAAATTTGTCAGGATAAAGCTTTATCGGTCGCAAAAGAGAGAAAAGGTCGCCAGAATTCAAGAAATCCTTACATATATTCCAACTCCCACGATGATTTTTGGCACTGCCTGCCTGTTACACCTAGCTAAATAATTAGAAAACCAAAATTTCAAATATTGTTTTCTTATAGAAATATATACAGTGGTACCTTCATTTACGATTCTAATCCGTTCCGAGAGACATGTTGAACACCAAAAAATCATAAACCAAAACGAATTTTCCCATAAGAAATAATGTAAACTGAATTAATCCATTCCAAACCCCCAAAATACCAGCGTTGAATGTAATTAAATGCCGTTTTCTGGGTGAGACCCAGAGGCTCCCCGGAGCTATACCAGGCTGATGTGAATGTATTAGACTGTGGCAACAGTCAATCGATGGAGTTCTAGGCCTACCAGGGACCAGCGCCAGAACCTGGCCCCCCTCGGAGAAGCACGAGGAGCAATGGCCTATAGACACCCCCGTGTATTCTACCGAAGTTAATTTCCCCATAAGAAATAAAGGGAAATGAATTAATCCGTTCCTGACTACCCCAAAAACCCCACATCAAACTAAATTTTTATACCTAATTTACCTAATTCATCTAAATAAACCTACAAAACTATGTTCCAGTTATTACTTACCTTGCTGTCGAGTGCTGTAGGCGTATGGAAGATGGTGAGGAGGGGGGAGGAGGAGAGGAGTTACTGTTTGGAAGGGGAGTCCCCTTCCATAATCACATCAGGCAGTGAGGACCTTTCTGGTGTGCTCTCCCTGGGACGTTTTACCTGAGTGCCACTAGGTCCTGGTTGAGGCTCCTCACTGCTCGATTTCCTCACCACAAATCTGTCCATGGAAGCTTGCTTTTCCCTTCTTCGCAAGCTGTCTCTGTAGTAAGGCATCACATTGTCATTGAAAAGATTAAGACAACGGCCTACTACAGCTTTCTCTGGGTGAGTCTGTTCAATAGTTGTTTGAATCTCTTCCCACATCTGACACACCTTCTTAATTACTGCAGAAGGGACATTCGCTGGTGCTGTTGCCACCTCCTCCTCCACTGCAGAATCATTCGCTGCTGCGTTGGCTTGCTGTTCCTGTTGAAGGGCTAGGAGTTCTTCGGTGGTCAGTTCTTCGTTGTGTTCTTCCACCAGCTCCTCCACATCATCACCATCCAATTCCAAGCCCATTTGCTGGCCTAGACTAACAATTTCCTCAACAATAGGCGCATCATTTATAGGCTCAAACCCCTCAAAGTCTAGTTCTCTCACACCTTCAGGCCACAATTTTCTCCAGCCAGAGATCAGGGTTCTTTGAGTCACTTCTTGCCAGGCTTTGTCAACGAGTTTTAAAGCACTACAAATGTTAAAATGCTCTCTCCAGAACTCTTTGAGGGTGAGGTTTGTGGCTTCAGTCACTTCAAAACATTTCCGGAAAAGTGCCCTTTCATACAGTTTCTTAAAATTCGCTATGATTTCTGGTCCATAGGCTGAATTAGAGGAGTGGTGTTAGGAGGAAGGAATTTAACTGTGAGGAATTTATTGTATCTAGGCAACAAATCATCTTCCAAGCCTGGAGGATGAGCAGGAGCATTGTCAAGGAGAAGCACGGCTTTGAGTGGCAATTGTTTCTCCTGCAGATATTTTTCTATGGCAGGGCACAGCACTTCATTCACCCACTCCGAAAAAATAAACCTAGTCACCCATGCTTTTTTATTAGACTTCCACATCACACACAAATGGGTTTTCTGCACATTATACTGTTTGAAAACCCTTGGATTTTCAGAATGATACACTAGCAAGGGTTTAATTTTCAAATCGCCACTCGCATTTCCACACAGCACAAGCGTAAACCTATCTTTTATAGGCTTGTGTCCAGGCAAGGATTTTTCCTCCTTGTTAATGTATGTCCTCTTAGGCATTCTTTTCCAAAACAGTCCTGTTTCGTCACAATTAAACACTTGTTGCGGTAGGTATCCCTCAGCCTCTGCAAACTCTTTAAATTCGTCAATAAATCGTCCAGCGGCTGGTTTGTCTGAGCTGGCTGCCTCCCCATGCCTTGTAACACTATGGATACCACTTCTCTTTCTAAATTTGTCAAACCAGCCCCTGCTTGCCTTAAACTCTTTCTTATCTGCATCACTCGTTGCAGGGGTCTTCTTTAGAAGGTCTTCGTGCAACACCCTGGCTTTCTCACAAATAATGGCCTCCGAAACACTATCACCCCTCAACTCCTTGTCGTGTATCCAAATTAATAACAACTTTTCCACTTCTTCAAGTATTTGTGGTCTTTGTGCCGTTAATGTTCTTACTCCTTTTGCCACTTTAGCACCCATAATCTTATTTTTCTTCTTAAGTATAGTGCATATTGTTGATGTGGCTTTGTTGTACTGCCTACAAAGTTCAACAACACGTGTACCATTCTCATGCTTCCGAATGATCTCCTCTATTGTCATCCTCACATGAGCTTTCTGGCCTTTATCCTTACCACTGGCTTTCTTGGGACCCATGGTGAGATATATAATAACAAATTGTATAGACAAATCACCAAAAATCCAACAAAACACTGAAAATCCGCGAGAAGAATTGATGTGGGGGTAGTCACTGAGCGCGAGACAATGGTAAACTGAGGGGCAGAGGGGCGACGATCGCCGAACCACCACGCGCTAGGTCGGCCTGTACGCGTATCAACAAACTCGCGTCCCGAAGTAACCCTCGCCTTCCGAGACAAATTTTTGGAATAAATACTGCTCGTCTTCCGAAAACCTCGCATACAGGGACACTCGCATTCCGAGGTACCACTGTATATCTATAAACTACACGATATAGTCTATAAGCAGTCTATATCTGTCATCTACCAGGTCAGGCACCCAGAAAGGTTGGAAACCCAAAGAAAACTACAGCTGGTGAAATATTGTTAACCGAAAGGTGAAAGAGTAAAAAGAAAACAAGTAAACAAGCATGACATCAACACAGCTGTTGTGCCGCTGTCTGCGCAACTCCCCCTTCCCTGGGTTGGGGATAAAGGGGGGGGGGTGTCCCAGACTTTTCACGCCAGCTACCCAATCCCAGTTCAGAGGCTGAATATCAAAAACACGAAAAAAACACCGACCGGGAGGGAGGGTTACCGGGGAGCCTGCGGGTCTCGCCCAGAAAATGGCGTTTCATTACATTCAATGCTGGTTTTCTGTGGAGAGCCCCTCCAGCTCCCTGGAGCTACTTAACCAAAGATAAAGAAAAAGAAGAACTTACCCTGAAGGCAGCTGCCACTCGCACCTCAACTCGAAGTCAAGACAACTGGCTGCAACCTGCGACCCAAGGCTACATATGCCCGAGAAGGTCCTAGAGCATTAACAAGGTATCGTGCGGCCAGGACCCTATTTTAAGTCCTTGACAGGACTTAAAATCAAGACAACTGGCAAAACCGATGACTCTGCGGATGACCTGGGAGACCCGAACCCTGGAACATGATGATGTTATGCTCGTTTGCTAATTTTCGTTTGGGGAGTTCTGCTCACTCGTTTGACCTTCGGTAGCAATATTTTCACCAGAATAGGGGTTTGTTTTAGAGCGCCTATCTTTCTGGGTGCCAGACCCGGTCAATGGCAGACATAGAATGCTCCCAACCACACTGGGGTTTCTATAGACAATTGCTCCTCGTGCCTCTCTGAGGGGGCCAGGTTGTGGCTCGTGGTCCCAGGTAGGCAAGAACTCTATGCACTTTGACTGATGCCAGAAAGCTAATAGATACATATCAGCCTGGATAGCTCCAGGGAGCCGACGGGGTTCCCCCCAGAAAAATTAATAAAATTTGTGAACACTTGATTTTCGGAGCACAGCCATAATGTCACAATAAATGTGGTGCATTACAGTGGTTAATCACACAGAAACTTTAATACTGTACATTGAAATGGGTCTGGCCCCAACTATTATTGCGTATTCAAGTACCACTGCACCACCTTTACGTGCATTTGTGAGCTGTAATGCTGATTCACCATTACCAAGACCTCTGCATATTACAATGTGACCAAAAATAACAAAATAATTTAAAAAAAATTCAAAATTTCTTATACACCCCAAGAGCCTAGCACTGCTCCTGTCTAAGCCAAAATCAAGCAAATTTTGAGCCCATGTGTCACCTGAGATTGTCTGTGAGCTGGTGGGGGGTGAACCGCAGCTACCTGTTGTCCGTTTATACTGGACACCATTATCCTAATGGGATGAGTTGTGCTTCCAGGTACTGACACCTCATCAGATAAGATCAGCTGAGGTTGGGGGGTCACTTGAGTTATCGTTCCAGGTACAATCTGGAAAAAGAAAAAAAATATATATATATATAATATAAAACTTAGATCCTTCTGCATTTATCTTCCAAGTTTTTTTTTTTTTATCAAGGTACTACATACAAACATGTCAACTTCAATAATTTGTTTTGGGGCTTTATGTCAGTTTTTTTTAAATATGTATGTGACAATATGTCAACTTTATTAATGTTTAAGGGAATCATGTCAGTTTCATCAACTCTTAAAATGATCCAATTGCGTGGAGGCAATTTGCGCTTCTCCTTAATATTTAAAAGTCCTGCCGATTTAATGGGATGCTAGTCACTCCTGGAGGACTCAAGCAATCGTCCACCATCTGGAACAACACTTTAGTGGGCCTCAGTGTCCCTACTGAGCAACATTCTCAAGATGGTTACCATGGATAACGTACCCTCTACCAGCTCCAAAATGATGCATGTGCACAAGCAGCCACCTCTCCCTGATTCAACCTGAAATTCTTTGTATTTTGCACGAAGAGGAATTCTTCTGTAAAGAGGAATATTTTTCTTGGAGTGATTATGAATTCAGGGTTTAAACAGACGAGAGCCGGATAGACAGTGAGAAATTGGCGTCACCAATTTACTTGGTGACGGCCAATTAAATTCACTCAATTTAAATTGAGCATAAGAGTGTGTGGGGGGAGGGGTGCACTCTGCAGCTTTCTCCTGTGCTATGATCACACACAAATGGGTTTTCTGCACATTATACTGTTTGAAAACCCTTGGATTTTCAGAATGATACACTAGCAAGGGTTTAATTTTCAAATCGCCACTCGCATTTCCACACAGCACAAGCGTAAACCTATCTTTTATAGGCTTGTGTCCAGGCAAGGATTTTTCCTCCTTGTTAATGTATGTCCTCTTAGGCATTCTTTTCCAAAACAGTCCTGTTTCGTCACAATTAAACACTTGTTGCGGTAGGTATCCCTCAGCCTCTGCAAACTCTTTAAATTCGTCAATAAATCGTCCAGCGGCTGGTTTGTCTGAGCTGGCTGCCTCCCCATGCCTTGTAACACTATGGATACCACTTCTCTTTCTAAATTTGTCAAACCAGCCCCTGCTTGCCTTAAACTCTTTCTTATCTGCATCACTCGTTGCAGGGGTCTTCTTTAGAAGGTCTTCGTGCAACACCCTGGCTTTCTCACAAATAATGGCCTCCGAAACACTATCACCCCTCAACTCCTTGTCGTGTATCCAAATTAATAACAACTTTTCCACTTCTTCAAGTATTTGTGGTCTTTGTGCCGTTAATGTTCTTACTCCTTTTGCCACTTTAGCACCCATAATCTTATTTTTCTTCTTAAGTATAGTGCATATTGTTGATGTGGCTTTGTTGTACTGCCTACAAAGTTCAACAACACGTGTACCATTCTCATGCTTCCGAATGATCTCCTCTATTGTCATCCTCACATGAGCTTTCTGGCCTTTATCCTTACCACTGGCTTTCTTGGGACCCATGGTGAGATATATAATAACAAATTGTATAGACAAATCACCAAAAATCCAACAAAACACTGAAAATCCGCGAGAAGAATTGATGTGGGGGTAGTCACTGAGCGCGAGACAATGGTAAACTGAGGGGCAGAGGGGCGACGATCGCCGAACCACCACGCGCTAGGTCTATATCTATAAACTACACGATATAGTCTATAAAGCAGTCTATATCTGTCATCTACCAGGTCAGGCACCCAGAAAGGTTGGAAACCCAAAGAAAACTACAGCTGGTGAAACATTGTTAACCGAAAGGTGAAAGAGTAAAAAGAAAACAAGTAAACAAGCATGACATCAACACAGCTGTTGTGCCGCTGTCTGCGCAACTCCCCCTTCCCTGGGTTGGGGATAAAGGGGGGGGGGGTGTCCCAGACTTTTCACGCCAGCTACCCAATCCCAGTTCAGAGGCTGAATATCAAAAACGCGAAAAAAACACCGACCGGGAGGGAGGGTTACCGGGGAGCCTCCGGGTCTCGCCCAGAAAATGGCGTTTCATTACATTCAATGCTGGTTTTCTGTGGAGAGCCCCTCCAGCTCCCTGGAGCTACTTAACCAAAGATAAAGAAAAAGAAGAACTTACCCTGAAGGCAGCTGCCACTCGCACCTCAACTCGAAGTCAAGACAACTGGCTGCAACCTGCGACCCAAGGCTACATATGCCCGAGAAGGTCCTAGAGCATTAACAAGGTATCGTGCGGCCAGGACCCTATTTTAAGTCCTTGACAGGACTTAAAATCAAGACAACTGGCAAAACCGATGACTCTGCGGATGACCTGGGAGACCCGAACCCTGGAACATGATGATGTTATGCTCGTTTGCTAATTTTCGTTTGGGGAGTTCTGCTCACTCGTTTGGCCTTCGGTAGCAATATTTTCACCAGAATAGGGGTTTGTTTTAGAGCGCCTATCTTTCTGGGTGCCAGACCCGGTCAATGGCAGACATAGAATGCTCCCAACCACACTGGGGTTTCTATAGACAATTGCTCCTCGTGCCTCTCTGAGGGGGCCAGGTTGTGGCTCGTGGTCCCCGGTAGGCAAGAACTCTATGCACTTTGACTGATGCCAGAAAGCTAATAGATACATATCAGCCTGGATAGCTCTGGGGAGCCGACGGGGCTCCCCCCAGAAAAATTAATAAAATTTGTGAACACTTGATTTTTGGAGCACAGCCATAATGTCACAATAAATGTGGTGCATTACAGTGGTTAATCACCCAGAAACTTTAGTACTGTACATTGAAATGGGTCTGGCCCCAACTATTATTGCGTATTCAAGTACCACTGCACCACCTTTACGTGCATTTGTGAGCTGTAATGCTGATTCACCATTACTCAAGACCTCTGCATATTACAATGTGACCAAAAATAACAAAATAATTTAAAAAAAAATTCAAAATTTCTTATACACCCCAAGAGCCTAGCACTGCTCCTGTCTAAGCCAAAATCAAGCAAATTTTGAGCCCATGTGTCACCTGAGATTGTCTGTGAGCTGGTGGGGGGTGAACCGCAGCTACCTGTTGTCCGTTTATACTGGACACCATTATCCTAATGGGATGAGTTGTGCTTCCAGGTACTGACACCTCATCAGATAAGATCAGCTGAGGTTGGGGGGTCACTTGAGTTATCGTTCCAGGTACAATCTGGAAAAAGAAAAAAAATATATATATATAATATAAAACTTAGATCCTTCTGCATTTATCTTCCAAGTTTTTTTTTTTATCAAGGTACTACATACAAACATGTCAACTTCAATAATTTGTTTTGGGGCTTTATGTCAGTTTTTTTTAAATATGTATGTGACAATATGTCAACTTTATTAATGTTTGAGGGAATCATGTCAGTTTCATCAACTCTCAAAATGATCCAATTGCGTGGAGGCAATTTGCGCTTCTCCTTAATATTTAAAAGTCCTGCCGATTTAATGGGATGCTAGTCACTTCTGGAGGACTCAAGCAATCGTCCACCATCTGGAACAACACTTTAGTGGGCCTCAGTGTCCCTACTGAGCAACATTCTCAAGATGGTTACCATGGATAACGTACCCTCTACCAGCTCCAAAATGATACATGTGCACAAGCAGCCACCTCTCCCTGATTCAACCTGAAATTCTTTGTATTTTGCACGAAGAGGAATTCTTCTGTAAAGAGGAATATTTTTCTTGGAGTGATTATGAATTCAGGGTTTAAACAGACGAGAGCCGGATAGACAGTGACAGTGAGAAATTGGCGTCACCAATTTACTTGGTGACGGCCAATTAAATTCACTCAATTTAAATTGAGCATAAGAGTGTGTGGGGGGAGGGGTGCACTCTGCAGCTTTCTCCTGTGCTATGAAATGAAGTGAAAAAGGAAATAAAGCTGAGGAGATTGAGGGCAAAGCCAAGATAAATAATAAGAGCTACAATGGTCCACAAATACTGCCTGAGGGCTGACAACATGCACTCACCTGTCCAGGTATAGGTGGAACTGGTGTCTGAGTACCGCCTTGGTTAACGTGACTTGATGCAGGTGTCGCAACCCCACTCCCAGTAATTCCCGCTTCCCGCATGTGGGTTTGACGATGCCGCTTCATGTCTGATCGAACACGGAAGGGCTTTCCGCAATCAGGGCATGCGTGTGGACGTTCGCCTAATAAACATTAATTATTAATAATATTTCTTACATGTTTTCATTATTTGATGTTCATGCTCAACTTATCTACATATTGCTACTATATCCCCTTTCACATAAAATGCTGGTTTTAACATTTAAAATATGCAAGTAATATTTGCATATTACTTGAAAATAAATAATCAAGTAATCTAAATACCTGTAAACCTAATCTTCCAATTTGGACAAGTTCATTGCAAAATAAAGCTTGCAATTACCTTACACAAAATTCAAGCTTGCTTGCCTTGAGTTTTGCAAAACTTTCCATACAGTCCAGATAAGCAAGCTTAAGACACTATTATATTTTCTCAAGTTAAGATTGTGTGTATTTAAAGAAAGTCTAGTGTTCCAAATAACTGCCTACCTGTGTGGATTCTCTTGTGATTCTGAAGATACGATGCCGCCCTGAACGCCTTGTTGCAATGCTCACACTTATAGTTCTTCTCCCCCGTGTGGATTCTTCGGTGCACCACCAAACAGTACTTGCGTTTGAAGTCCTTCCCACAATACTCGCATTGATACTGCCTGTGTAAGGGTGATGAGGGTTATGTCACATTCAGACTCGGGTCAATGCGGCTAACACAGCGTTCATCCTCATAAAAATGATAAAATTTCAACACTGTATTGAAAAATACAGTAATTAATTTTGAATTAATGGGGAAATACTTGTACATATTTATAAAATACTTGTAGAATGTCATTTTTTTCTATCAAAAGTAGGTCAACTTTGCAAGATGACATATGAGCGGGGTTATTCAAGTGTCACAGGCCAGTAGGGGGTTGGTCCCAGTGCCACACTGAGACATATCTCCACCTATAGGGACCCTTTCCCCCTGCAATTCTCCTGAAATCTGAACTCAAGTAATGTACTTGACAGAGTAACAAGAGCAATGACAGTACAGAGGGTGTGGACAGTAATGGCCAGAGCAGAATCTCGAGAGCATTGAGACCAAAGAGATTGCGGAGAATTATCAGCGTGTGTGCCACAGTCTCAGACCGGACGGGTGTCTGGGTACCTTGGTGGGCAGAATCTTAACAGTCACGACGAGAAGAAATCAGAAAGCAGAGGAGAAATCATTGAGAGTCCTCGGACTAGAGATAAGATTGTGTGGACACAAAATGAGCCGAGACTCCAGGCAAGACAGTGTGAGCCGAGTCTTCAGACTGTACAAGTTAGTGTCGCCTACGAAGTTCATCCTATCTGAACCTATATTGAACCTGGTAAGTGTTTGTTAGGTTTTGTGAAACTCCAAGGGCAATCAGCCATATTGACTTCTTGACATCCTGTTTAGTAACTCTACTCTTACTGAGAATTTAATCAATGGTGAGATGAGTATGAATAGTAGTATTCAAAATGTCTAAAAATCAGAAAATAAATATCAATATCCAAGTTTTAAATGTCAGTGAATCTAATATCCTAACAGCTTGGGTATTATATTTCTATGGTTAACAGATGTATGTTATTGCATGTAATCATCAATGTGATAACTGTGGTCAAGACATGAGTTCCAATTCTTATCTAAAGTATATTTAAATGGATGATGGCAGCTCTTCTACCCTCTTCTCTTTCTCTCCTAATTTTCTCATTTCAACCCCCATTCTTTCTCAACTTTTCCTTTTCACTGAGTATCTCATCCTGTCTTTCTTCTACCTGTTTCTACCCCCTCCCTCTCACCCTTCCTCCTTTTCTTTGTCCTCTCTAATTTTTCCACTACTGCTCCTATTCATTTTATATATTTTTCTATCTATTTCCTTTACCCATTACATAGTGCTGAACAGTGAATTGTAATTTCTAATCCAAAAAGCTGTTTACCTGGTGTAACAGGGTTAACAAACATAATTTAATAGCTAAACATACCTGGAGAGGGTTCTGGGAGTTCTTCTACTCCCAAGCCCGGCATGAGACCAAGCTCGACTTGTAATGTTTATCCAATTTCTTACATGGAGAAATCTACTCTAAACTGCAAAATGCTCATGCTCTTTAATTACAGAAAACACATGCAAAAAACAAAAATATCACACCAACCTGTCATCAGAATGAACTGACGTCGTATGGTATCTAAGATCGCCCCACTGTCTGAAGAATTTTTCACAGAGTTGACACTTGTAAGGCTTTTCCCCACTATGAAGTCTCTGGTGGACCTTTAACGCACTTGCAGCATAAAACGCTTTCCCACACTGCTCACACTGATGAGGCCTCTCACCTGAGAGATGCACAATGGTCAGGACACAAGAAAGCAGTGATACTGAGCAAGGGTAATGAGCTAGCAATGTGTTCAATATAAAAATGCTCCCTTACACCCTTAACAATCTAAAGACAACTTGACCAGACATATAAAGTGCATAGTTTCCTAATAAGAAATGGGCAATGATACAGCAGAACCTCTATATTCATCATTAATCCATTTCTCAAGGCCTGTAGGCAAACATGGAAATAATTTTTTCCATAAGAAATATCTGAAATTCAATTAATCATCTCCCAGCCCCCAAAATTAATACATAAATGAAAATTTAGCTTTTCCACGTGTGATAGAATCTGAAATACTATCACCAGTCATTTGCTTTTCAGTAACTCACACCAATAACAGATTTTCCACATCTTTATATATTTGTGATCTGCTAGTGGCAAGAATTTTTACACCTTTCACCACATCATCCATTTTAATTCCCTCCTCATTTTTTATTATGCTGCCTAGGGTAGTTCGACACGTTAAATTCTAAGGTTAAGTTGGAAACACTTTTTCCCATTTGTAATAAACTTGGCAATAAGTTCTTTTTATCAACTCAACTGTCTCTCCAAACTTTCCTTTGGTTGTTTTTCTTCACTACGCTTTGTTGGGGGTCATGGTCACTTCATTTTACAATGATAACTGCAATGAATTGCAAACAAAGAAAAATTTTCCAAGAGAAATTAGTAGGAGATATATACTCTACACTCTATGAAGCCTTATGCTTTACAACTGCAACGGGCTGATTGAGTGGGCTAGCTGACCGCATGATGATCTTGTACCGAGCGGTAGGGTGATTAATATGGTAAATGCTGACGAATATGGAAGCATTTTTTGTTGCCAAAACGAGACGAATATTGAATCTGACAAATATAGAAGTTCCACTGTATTTTTATGTGCAGTATTGAGAAAGTAAATATATATATACTATTCATATATAATGCACAAGTGTATAGCCTATTGATGCATTGATATACACGCATTTAGAATAATTCGCTTTTCCTTCCACATTCTTAGCAGAAAATTTACCCCTAAAAGGGAATAAGGAGAGTTACTAAAGAAAACAATGACTTCCAAACAATCCCATTTCTTACCTGTATGTCCTCGAATGTGATAGACAAGAGAGTTCTTGTGTGTGAACACCCTCGGGCACATGGTACAAGCGTAGCCTCCTTTTACAGCCTTCCCAATCTTTATCTTTTTTTTGGGCGCTCCTTTATTTTGCGGTTCTTCTTTGTGTTCCGTTTTCCTATGGGTCAATAACTTTGTTTTGGATTTGAAGACCCTATAGCAATCTTCACAGTTAAATTCCGGCGGATTTTCACTATGTTCGGATTGGACATGGGAATCGAGTGCCATCTGGGTGCGGTAACTTTTGGGACATGCAACACATGAGTAAGGTTTATCAATGGGATTTGTTTCCGTTTCCTCCATGTGAGCAACTTTTAAATGAACTTCCAGCATGCTCTCTTTACGGAATGTTTTGTTGCATAGTTCACATGTAAAATGCTCCCTCGAATGGACCAGCGAATGCTCCTGCAATGCTTCAGCACTTTCAAACTCACCTCCGCAAACTTCACACTTGTGTTTTTTGTATGGTTCATAGTGACCTTTTAAATGTTCAAAAAATTTAAGTTGACTATCAAATGCCTTTGCACAGATTTCACACTTGAAGGGCTTAGGTTTGAGCGCAGGTGGCGTATGTGTCTGCTTATGTGCCGCAAACTGCTGCTGATTGGTAAATTGATCGCCACATTGCGTACACTTGTAACACTTCACGTGCTTCTTTGTAGTTTTTAGTTTCTTGGGAATTCTTTTCTTGTGTGGCAGAGATTTCTTCCCATCAGTGGTATAGTTACCACTAGTCTCGGGGTCTTCGTCATTTGAGTCTATCTCCTCATCCATTGGATCGTCATCCTCCAATGCTTCTTCCATAGGGTCCTCCTCCTCATAGTCGGCACTTATAACCATAGTCTCGACTTTGACTAGCTGCTCAGGTAGCTGTGGTAGAATTTCTTCCTCTTTCAAGTTTTGACTTACATACTCCATATACTCTGGCCGGCGCCGGATAGGCCGGCCGCTGCGGGAGACAAGAGGCATGTGTTGAATAGCAATCTGTTGTTGTTGCTGTTCTTGGCCATCCTGATTATTCTGGTCGTGTGTTTTTGTTATTTGTTGCAAGAACTGTTTTTGCTGGTGTTGCAACTGAGTTTGTTGTTGTTGTTGCTGCTGCTGGTGGTGCTGATGTTTTTGCTGTTGTTGATGTACTTGCTGTTGCTGCTGTACTTGTCGCTGCTGTGGCTGTTGAAATTGAAATGCCTTCGGTTGCTGCTGTAGCCTATGTGGAAGTTGCAACTGTCTTTGTTGATGCTGTTGCTGTTCTTGATGCTGCTGCTGGTGTTGAAGTTGTCTTTGTTGCTGTTGCTGCTGTTGTAAGTGTTGCTGTAACTGTCTTTTCTGAATCTCCAGCTTATTTGGTTTTCTATATTCATGCAAGACGTGTGGCAGTCCATCATGATCTAGCTGAACAAGATTTGTTGAAACATCTGACATGATGTGATTGGGTTGTTCTTGTTCTTGTGCTTGTTGCTGCTGCTGCTCTTCTTGCTGCTGGAACAAAATGTCAGAATACGCCCTTTCAAGCAGCTGGGTTTTTGGATTCTGGTGCTCATGCCGAACATGGTGGACACTGGAAGTCGTAGGAGCAGCAGTGGTGGTTGGATTCATTACGTCAAAGTATAGTTCCAATGGTGCTGATGAGGTTGCTCCTTTCATGGCTGCATCACTCATTTCCACAAATGCAACATTGTTTACAGCAACAAGGGTATCTTGAAACTTTCCTTGCTGGTCATCTTGCAGAGGCATCTGAGTGACATATTCTAGGCTGCCATAGGAATCTTGCGCACTATTCCCTGCCGTGGTGAAGGTCACTGCTGGACTAACATTACTCAGTGCACGGGATCCCTGTGCGATAACACCCTCCAGGAGTGTCTGCGTACTGCCCGAAGACACAGGAACATAGTGTTGTGAAGCGGCACCCAAGGAAGTCAGGCTGGTGCCGAGGGCCCCAGCTGCTTCGTTAAGCCCAAGTTGGTCAAGCTGAGCTGCATCCATCTTGGGCAAACTGACAATATTCATTTCTAAAGGTCCGCTGCCTCCCAAGATACTTCCATCTTCACTCTCTGACATCACTCACACCTGCAATTTCCAATTAAGTACAGTACTTTAATAAGACAAATAATTTGCATTTATTATACATGTACAAAAACTATACTGTACTACAACAAGTGTTGAAAAAATTCACTTACATTATTTTTACAGTATATAATGGTAGTAAAACTAATTCAAAACTTAATTAATTATGAATAAATGAGTTGACTAAATATTTGTTTTTTTAGCAAAAAAAGATGCCACTAATAGTAAACTTATGGAAAAACATAGAAAGTACAGTACCAATTTTTAAAATAAGAATAATAAAAGTTCCTAGACGTACACAGCACCTAGACAGGACTAATGTGATTATAGTCGATCAAGGGAGTATCCCCCAAGAGTGTCAAACCTCAGGAAACAAAGTTGTGCAATGAGTTCCAGAGGGAACAATCATTAGGCTACTGTATTACAAATTTAGAATAGAAGTGTTGTGGTGTTGATATTGGTGGTTGTATTGGTGACTGAAACTGACATAAGTTTGAGGTACAAATACACACAAAAGGATGAGGTAGCTTAAGCTATTCTTGCCCCGTTCAGTACATGTTCATATATACTTTTTATATACACACATCACAATCAACATATTACTGAACATTCAGAGTGATAAACACACACATCTTTCTTTACACATGCAGTATGTTACCAGACATACACACATCTACTTTGGTGCTTACATATTGGCAATAGTGGCTGTATTATTGGAATGGATAATACTGCAAAGCCAGGTTCCAAATATGTACAAGAAAAGAACAACATATTGGAGTGAAAGATATGGTAGGAAATACACAAAAATAGACCCAGTACTGTATAGAGTAGAGATCACATAAGCACAATCAGGGAACACTGTATGAACGTCAAAAGGTCCACGACTCTTCAATAGTCTCCCAACAAATACAAGAAATATTGCCAGAACAAAAGTGGCTGTGTTTAAGAAACGATTAGACATGTACCCACAGAAAGTGCCAGACCATCCAAGCTGCAATGGGTATGTGGGCCTCGGGCCGCTCCAAGCAGCAGCATTTTAGTTCAAATTATCACAAGATAAACCTAGCCCCAGGCTAGGCCTTGGTGAGAACTCTTGAAACCTTCTACAAGTTACTCCAAGTGGTAGTGGTAAGTGGTGATACGAGTGGTGCTGAGTGATCACTGACTACAGGGAAGCGATATCTAGTTCTTGGATGGAAGTGGTATTAACAACTTTGTCAAATGTACAGTACTGTATTGCTGACCAGCCAAACTGCATATGAGAATTTCCTTAAAAAACAGTGATTGAGTATTGTATACATGCATACATATATGTACACCCACATTGCATGTATACAAGCTCCTGGCACAGCTCAAAGGAAGTATCTTGCAGCCCATTCCTTTATTGATAGTCTCTCTACAGAATACTGTATATTGATGCAGAACAACAGTATGACCCAATTGCATATCCAGCTCCTAACAATGTCCTATCGCTCCCTATGAAAGTACATACAGTCAGTGTCCACCTTATCTATTCCTTTCAGTATCCTGTCCTAGCTAAGCCCCCTCTCAATTCTAGTAAATTCTAGTACAGTACTGTACTCCTCTAGTCACAAATCTCTGTACTTAAGTTCTTTTGTTATTAAAAAGGTGTGTATTAGTTATTACTTGCCTGGATTGAATTCCAGCAGGCAATTATCTGTTCAATTCTGAACTTTGTCAAGGTGTTCCTGCAGTAGTAGTAGTTCTCGACTTTTACTCGTCTCATTAGCTATGCATCACCTGGAAACATCGACATTTAGGTGGTCATTCCTTATAATAAGTCGCTAACACTTACAGTGAGGTTATCATTTCACCTTGATTTCTGGGGTAATGCAGTTATCATAATATGTGAATTTTGGTTATTACTGAAAAGTTTTTACACAAATGAAGTAAATATGGCAGCCCATCCTAAATTGAAAGTACTGTACTTATAGCAACTATTTGATTGAAGGTACCAATATGTAGAGACGTACCACAAAAAAGTTGACGTGTGTGTGTGTGTTACAAATTTGGATACCCCAGAAACTTTGTTAACTACAACATGAAGCAACCCTAACCTTTCATAGCAGTCCTAGGCCTAATACATGCTATTATAGGCTTCAGATTATCCATAGTTTAAATGCTATACTAGGCCTAGGAATATTTAGGTTTGGTTTTAGCTTTATTTTTTCTGGACTGGTGGATTACTGGTGGTCATCACTACATATAGTAACTTCGGTATTTAGTAGAAAGAACAAGTAAGTACTGTACTATTATTTCAGGAGGATTGATATATGGGTTGATATATGGCTATAATAATGTGCTATGTCATGTGTGAATAGATCATTAGATCACAATTTGGACTTTATCGCCAGTATCAGAATTATTTTTTTCAACATTTCCAACCAGAATAGCAGGTAAAGGAGTAGGTTGCCAGACACTTCCTTTGAGCTGCGCCAGGAACATACACACACACAACATAGGTCTACATATTATATAATGCAGCTACATATAGGTGCTTTTGTTAATCATGTTACCTGTTTGGGAATTCTGGGAGTTCTGGGGAGTTCTTCTACTTCTCAAGCCCGGCCCGAGGCCAGGCTTGAATTGTGAGTTTGGTCCAGACCATGAGACCATGAGACATGAGACCAGAAGACATGGCAGGATGTGCAGAATACCCCCGTTGAAAAGCAGAGGTGCAACAGGTACTCTGAGAGAGAACTCTATCAACATCAGAGGCCCGAGACTGTTCAACACGCTTCCACTACACATAAGGGGCATAACTGGCAAACCCCTCACAGTGTTCAAGAGAGAACTGGATAAGCACCTCCAAAGGATACCTGATCAACCAGGCTGTGACTCATACGTCAGGCTGCGAGCAGCCGCGTCTAACAGCCTGGTTGATCAGTCCAGCAACCAGGAGGCCTGGTCGACGACCGGGCCGCGGGGACACTAAGCCCCGGAAGCACCTCAAGGTAGCCTCAAGGTGGTCCACTAGGCTGTTGCTTAGAGCGGCCCGCAGGCCCACATACCCATCACAGCCCGGTTGGTCCGGCACTCCTTGGAGGAAACAATCTAGTTTCCTTTTGAAGATGTCCACGGTTGTTCTAGCAATATTTCTTATGCTTGCTGGGAGGACGTTGAACAACCGCGGACCTCTAATGTTTATACAGTGTTCTCTGATTGTGCCTATGGCACCTCTGCTCTTCACTGGTTCTATTCTGCATTTTCTTCCATATCGTTCACTCCAGTATGTTGTTATTTTAATGTGTAGATTTGGGACCTGTCCCTCCAGTATTTTCCATATGTATATTATTTGGTATCTCTCTCGTCTCCTTTCTAGCGAGTACCTTTGGAGAGCGTTGAGACGATTCCAATAATTTAGGTCCTTTATCGCGTCTATGCGTGCCGTATATGTTCTCTGTATTCCCTCTATTTCAGCAATCTCTCCTGCTCTGAAGGGGGAAATGAGTACTGAGCAGTACTCAAGATGGGACAACACAAATGACTTGAAGAGTACAACCATTGTGATGGGATCCCTGGATTTGAAAGTGCTCGTAATCCATCCTATCATTTTCATTATTCCCAATTATTTGACATGCTGTTTTCCTAATATGGGCAGATCCGATTGTGTTTTGTACCCTGTATTATGTTTCAGATCCTCATTTTTGCCGTACCTGAGTACCTGGAATTTATCACTGTTAAACATCATGTTATTTTCTGCTGCCCAATCGAAAACTTTGTTGATATATGCTTGTAGTTTTTCAATGTCTTTCGCAGAGGTAATTTTCATGCTGATTTTCGTGTCATCTGCAAAGGATGACACGAAGCTGTGACTTGTATTTTTGTCTATATCTGATATGAGAATAAGGAAAAGCAGTGGTGCATGGACTGTACCTTGAGGTACAAAGCTTTTAACTGCACTTGGGCTCGATTTTATTTGATTGACTGTTACTCTTTTGTGTTCTGTTCGACAGGAAATTGAATATCCAGCGTCCCACTTTACCAGTTATTCCCACTGACTTCATTTTATGTGCTATCACCCCATGATCACATTTGTCGAATGCCTTTGCAAAGTCTGTGTATACTACATCTGCATTTTGCTCTCCTTCCAGAGCTTCTGTGATTTTGTCATAGTGGTTGAGTAACTGTGACAGACAGGATCTTCCCGCTCTAAATCCATGTTATCCTGGGTTGTGTAGTTCATTATTTTCCGTAAAACTAGAAAGTTGATTCCTAATCACTCTTTCAAAAACTTTTATTATGTGAGATGTTAGTGCAACTGGTCTATAATTTTTTGCCAAGGCCTTACTACCCCCCCTTGTGCAACGGAGCTATATCTGCTGATTTAAGTGCTGCTGGTATCTGCCCTGTACCCAGGCTCTTTCTCCATATTAGGCTGAGTGCTCGTGCTACCGATACTTTACATTTCTTAATGAATATTGAATTCCACAAGTCTGGCCCAGGAGCTGAGTTCATGGGCATATTATCAATTTCTCTTTCAAAGTCTTCAGAGTTTGTGTTAATATTCATTATATTATCTGTAGCTTGAATGTCATTCATAAAGAAGCTGTCTGGATCATCAACTTTCATGTTGTTTATAGGTGTGCTAAACATAACTTCATACTGGATTCTTAGAATTTCACTAATTTCTTTGTTGTCTTCTGTGTACGTACCTTCAGTTATAATTAAAGGTCCAATACTGGTGTTTTTTTGTGTGTACATAAATTGTGTACACACACACACACACACAATGTACTCACCTAATTGTTTTTTTTTTTTTTTCACCTAATTGTGCTTGCGGGGGTTGAGCTTTGGCTCTTTGGTCTCGCCTCTCAATTGTCAATCAACTGGTGTACAGATTCCTGAGCCTACTGGGCTCTATCATATCTACATTTGAAACTGTGTATGGAGTCAGACTCCACCACATCACTTCCTAGTGCATTCCATTTATTAACTACTCTGACACTGAAAAAATTCTTTCTAACGTCTCTGTGGCTCAT